TGCTGAATGTAGGCTAGCTTGTTAAGGAATATTGCTATGTTAATGGTACATTCTCCATTTCCCTACATTCCATGCCTGTCTCTTGACTCACTGCCAGCCAGGCAGCATCTTTCATGTGGGGCACTTTGTATTTTTCATGGCCAATATCACCCAGATGGTTACACGACATCTCCTCCACACATATGCCATATGCTATTGGTTGAGGCTACGACTTCACCGGTCAAATTTCACCAAAGTTGAACTCCATGTGATGTGGAGATGCGAATTTGCTTGCCACTGGAAGCAAATGATTTATTCCCCCCTCTGTTCATGTTGAATGGATGTGAACGGAAGGTGAATATTCACCGGTGTTGATTTGCTCATGTGTGACCGTGCCCTCATACATGCCTCTGGCAGGTGTTCGCAATTTCGATTTACCAAGTGTGATTTCAGGGACCGAGCAAGGAAACAGAGGTTGCTTTTTCGTTTGATTTGTATTTTCTTTTTTGTTCAAGCTTTGGCAAGATTACCTCACCTCAATGTGATGTTACTGTACATGAGGCACTCACTTTGATTTAATCTTTTTCTTCATCCAGTTTGACAGCTTTGTTTGTGTTGTCACACCCTTGCTTATGAGTAGGTAGTTTGGGCCATATGCCATATGTGCAGCTTCTGTCTCTAATGTTGGTATTCTGTCTTTTGTCTGTGGGCTCCTAAACACCCCTTTCTCTGTTTTTTTTTCCCTAAGCCATTATTTAACTGCTGACAATGGAGGCGCCTCTGCTGTTGTGGCAGATATTTGACATGCTGAATTTCTTTCTGCCAAATGGGAGATATTGTTAGAAAGTTTCTGTGTATCATCAGTGATATTTAGTTTATAACAATCTTTAGGAGACTGCATAATTGTATTTTTTCTTTGCACTGCTCTGTAATATCATCAATTTTAATGGTACAGTACATTTTATCCCCTCTGTTTTTGTTGTGATACAGCCCACTTTTCATATTTAAGTATCACTAAAAATTTCTTTTCATTTCCTGAAATAATAATTTCTGGACAATCATCTTAAGGATATAAATGTTCTTAAGAATTAAAAAAAAACAATACCAGCAGCACACAGTAGAGCAAAATCATTAGCAAAGGGACACAGATAACTTGATAACCATATAGTATGTGGTGCATACAAAGTGACGGGGGCTTTATGTAGTGGCAGATTTAAGTGCCACCTGGTGGTCGATGAATAAGCAACCCAAGAAGATTTATACAGGTTGAAAACCTAAGTCTAAACGTAAGCCATGTACTTTAAGGAAATAATTATTTATAATACACATGACAATACAAAATTAAAAAAAAATGTTAGAGTTGTTATTAAACTATAATAAATTATGAGAATTGCCATTATTAGATCTTCCAAAGGTCTCTAAAATATGCCTAAAAAACATGCAAAGCAAAGCAAGCAAATAAACCACATGCTGTTTTATTACAACACATAAACTGCTGAGTCACTCATGGGTAAGAGAGACATAAACATTACCATACCTGTAGACAGATTCTCATGATCTCATGATTGGCATTGAATGGACTCAATATCATGTAAAACCATTCATTTCCTATCGAGGAAATGTTGTGACTCTGCTTGCATCTGGTGTCCACAATGACCCAGTGATGCCGATGTTTACATGGTTCTGGCTCTCCATGTTCCTGTTCCTTGATGATGTGGTGAGCTGTTCTTACACTCACAGGAGAGATAAAAAGGCTCACAGGCCCAGAAACTGACCACAGCTGATTAACCGATGCTTCCTCTTAAAACTAAAAAAAAAAAATTAAGAATTTAAACTCTTTTAATTAAAAAAAAAAGTGAAAAGCATCCACACACTCCGATCATTGCCACATTCCTTTATTTAGGCTCAATAACTAGATTACAATGTGAGGACACTAACTTTGAATTTCAACTCCATGACCTCCAACATGCTTTATTTTTATTTTTTATTTTGATGAGCAGTGAGGGGCGGCACGGTGGTGTGGTGGTTAGCACTGTTGCCTCACAGCAAGAGGGTTCCTGGTGCGATCCCGGGTGTGGGAGCCCTTCTGTGCGGAGTTTGCATGTTCTCCCCGTGTCAGCGTGGGTTTTCTCCTGGTACTCTGACTTCCCCCCGCAGTCCAAAGACATGCAGATTGGGGATAGGTTAATTGGTGACTCTAAAGTGACCGTAGGTGTGACTGTGAGTGTGAATGGTTGTCTGTCTCTATGGATCAGCCCTGTGATAGTCTGGCGACCTGTCCAGGGTGTACCCTGCCTCTCGCCCAATGTCAGCTGGGATAGGAGGATAAGCAGTTAGAAGATGGATGGATTATTATGCAGATGACACACAGATATTTATATAAAAACATCACCGGGTGGCTGTGGTCCCATACAAGCACTGAGTTGGTGCATTAAATAAATTAATTAAAATTTTTCAGTCAAACGAAGATAAAACTAAAATAATGGTTTTTGTATCCAAAAAAGAAACCTAAACTTCAACGTTTTTCAGGCCTTGGACCCCATAGCTGAAAGAGACAGAGCAGAGACTCCATAAAACTTAATAATAGAGGTAATAATAATCCTCTGAATATTTGTGGCTCTTTTCTCGTTTGCACTTGCCTGTAGCTGTTAAGTCAGCAGCAGTTGTAGCATGGCTAGGTGTGTTAGCTTCACCCTCTGCACTTTTGCTGGCTGTTTCTGAGGTGGAGGTTGTTGAAGCCAACTGGCCAATATGTTTAAATATCTCGCCAGGTGCTACACAGTGTACAAGGATCTGTATGGCTAGCCTCTCATAAATGTTATATACTCTGAACAGAAAAGTTTTTTATGATCTTTTTTAAATTAATGGGATGAATTATCTTTGCTAATAATATGTTGATTTATGTTCATGTGTATTTTCAGCCATTTTTTTTTATTTTTGAAAACAAAAACAAACACACACAGAAAACCCCTAATACAAACAAACCTCAGTCAAAATTTGAATCAAAACATCATACTGCGTAATACAATTATCTTTCTGTTTAATTTCTAACTAAAAACTAACTTAACTCTGACTAAAAAAAAATTAATCAGTTGCTCCATTTGTATTGTTTAATTCAGCTAATAAGCGTGTCAGTGAATTGCTTATAAATACATTTTATTCAATGTTTTTTTTTCAGCGATGGATTGATTCATTTGTAAAGTCCTGTGTTATCCCTCTTTTTGTCTAAACATCAGTTTTAAATTTGAGGGAAACAATCTTGACTCGAGGTTCACTTACTCGCTTTTTCTGGAGCTGTCAAACCAATACTACAGTAGTAAAAACTCCAGAACAAATAAGTAAGTGGACTTTGAGTTGAGATTGTTTTGTCAACTGCTGTTTTCAAGGTCAGACCTGCTCTATTAATAATATGATCATTTGAATTTGTTTTCAATACAATGCCACGCTGGCTTCTTTCCCAGGCTCTGTGTCCATCACATGTCCTTCCTGATGTCCTTGTCTCAAAGTCTAGTGTTTGTTTTCTAAAACACAACTCACAGACATGCATCTATTTCAATGTACTCATGAGGTCTTGTTTGTTATGTTTTTGTCAAACAAGGTCACAGAATACAGTACCTGCAGTTTTGTGTTATTTTGGAAACAGTTGTAGCCACCACGTTCAAACGGCTGGGTGACTAATTATAGAAAACAGCCTTCACTGTCACTTAAATGCTTTAGGGGTTTTTTCTCTACTGACATTTGTTGGTAGGTGACCTTGATTCCTCAGCCGAAAATGACAAAAGAACGAATCAAAACAACTAGAGATGCACAGTGACAGCAAAAGATTCAAAACAACTAGAATTATACTGAAAATGACCACAAAGAGACAGAAAGTGATGAAAAAGTTACACAAACCATTTACAAAGAGACTCAAATTGACCACACAAAAAAACTACTACAAAGATACTCAAAATGTACACAGACACAAAAAAAAACTACAAAGATGCTTAAAATGTACACAGACGCACACTACAAAGACACTCAAAATGACCATAAATGGATTCAAAACAACTACGAAAAACCTCAAAATGACCACAAAGAGAAAGAAAATGATGAAAAGGCTAAACAAAAAAACTACAAAGAGACTCAAAATGACCATTGAAAGTTATTTTGAGGATGCCAAATAACGAAAAGGTTACACAAAGCAACTACAAAGAGACTCCAAATGACCACAAAGAGACACAAAACAACTACAAAAAGATGCTAAACAACCACTAAGTCTCTGTGTTTTGCTCCTATGTAGAAGAGGTGGTGGGGCCTTGTGCATATCTGTGCCCAGGGACACATTGTCTCATAATCTGCCCATGCCTATGAACGCTATAAAGGCCTACCTATTTTAAACTACATAAATAAAGTTGTGGAAATTGGATAAATATCATGGAACAGTTATGGAGAAGTTCAATAGGTAGCTCAAAATCAATGGGTAAACATATGTGGGAACCCTAATAACAGTGAAGGAAGTGATGAGTGTTCCCCCTGTGGGAGACAGGAGATATCAGTGCATATGATTTCACTGTGTGTACAATACCACAATAAACTATATGATGTTGCTGTTGGATAAAACCAACAGGCTGGCATGTGTTTTTTTATGTTCCACAAAAAGTGTTATACGTTTATACTGCTAGGTATGGGCTAGGTTGTGGAATTTCCAAGTCTATAAGGAAACTAGAACTAAAACAAGAAAATTACCAAAAGTAGGATAAGGTGTGAAACTCCTTTTTGCCTTGGGTTAGAATTGTGCTATGGTTTCCAGTAAAAATGGGTCCTAACACTTTCTGAGGGCACATGATTACTGTCACAGGTAGCATATTTTTACCATCAACAGCAACCCCTATGGTGGTGTGAAATTTCTGCTAACACATCTGACAGGGCATTATCAAAAGGAATGCTGTCCTGCACACATTTATGGTTACGCCTCCTGCTATTCTGTGAAACTGTTAAAGGCTGCTGACTTCCTTGTTTGCTTTGTATACTGCCTGTATCACCTGTTCTCTTGTAGACTCACCTGAAACCTCGCCAGGTAGGAGGAAGAGACAGAGTGAGGCAAAAACGAAAGATAGTTTTCAGAGGTGAAGGTGAGCTAAGACACTTTGGAATTTTTGACAAGAAGAGTAACAAGACGAGAGAATCAACAGACAAGGAAGAATACAGGCGACCAACCTCATCTCTACCTATCATGTCTTTGTCTAAGCCAGAGGGGCAGCTAGCCCACGAGCTGAGCTGTCCCATCTGCCTTCAGCTCTTCTCTGATCCGATGGTTCTCCCCTGCGGACACAACTACTGCCGAGCCTGTATCTGGAAGTCAGTTGACAAGGGGGACATATCATGTTGCCCAGAGTGCCGTGAGGAGTTTCAAGGTTTAAATTCCCTGCAGAAAAACTTCAAACTCTGCAGCATCATCGAGGGTTACCTTGCCACTGCACCGCTTCTGGACTGTCGGCAGGACACTGAGCCTGGGGGGATGGAGGTTTTCTGCGACCACTGTATAGATGAGCGGGTACCAGCTGTGAAGTCTTGCCTGAAGTGTGAGGTGTCACTGTGTTCCAGGCACCTCCAGAGACATCACGAGAAGGAGTCGTTCAAGACGCACACTGTGGTGGAGCCCACGAATGAGCATGGGATGAAGTGCTGCTCCATCCACCGGCGTCCCCTCGAGTATTTTTGTTCCAGCGACATGACCCTAATGTGCAGCATGTGTGTCGTAGAGGGCTTTCACCAGAACCACGACGTTCTCACCTTCAGCGTAGCCGAAGAGGAGATGAGGCGAGCGTTGGAGGGCCGCAGCAAGGTATTTCTGTTGTTTCATTTCCCAGACTTTTAATCTACAGACATTTTTCCTATGGTGATATTGAAGCACCAGTTTTGCATACATCTGCAATATTGGGAATAGGCGATAAAATAAAAACAAGGGTAATGTTTATTTTATGGTAAAATTTCTTAAGAATTTCCAGGAAAAACCTATCATAGGGATATGAAAGATGATTAAATAAATTGGTAACCTAGTCAGTGGAGAGCAGGTAAGCCAAACATGTACATGTGAAATTTTGCTGCAACATGTTCTCATCCCAGATTGTCAAATACCAACACTTTCTCACGCCCCTCCTGTGTGATACCAACACCAAAGTCAACCTTTTGTGTCTGTATGAGAATCATCCTTTAATGTCTGTGACAACTGTCTCCGAGGTGAAACTCGTACAGTGTGGTTCAAGTGGTCAAACTGTTGCAGTTAGGTTGAGGCAACAACTACTCGGTTAAGTTTAGAAAAAAACTCATGTTTTGGGTTTAAATACGTATGTAACATTTTGTAAATAAACACACAAGTATGTTACAGATGGATGTGAGTCAAGGAACGTTATGGATTTTTGGTTTCAACCAGGATACAAACGGTATTCTCCTGGATAAGAGTCTGTGTTTGCCTGACCCATCCACCACCCCTTCTGCTTGGCTTAGACAGACATCAGGGTTTGAAATTAGCATCAGCCACCAGCCATATGCTGGTAAAATATGCAAGTGGCTGCTAGATTTGCTTCACTTCCCAGCCAAAACACAATGGTAATCTATTGAGTGGCAGGTAGATTTTGGGATCCATCAGCCACTGTGGCAGGTTGACAAAAAGTTAGCAACCCTGATGGACTTAGTCGCTCTTAATATTGTGTCACTTGCTCTAAGCATCAAATATTGCCGTGGATGTTGGAATTGGTTGAAAGCCTGGTGCATCTCAGAGATGTCCCTCGGTATCACACGGCGAGTGGCATGGCAAAGCATCAGTTTCTGACAATTTTGGAAAGGGAGCAGGCTGCAAGGTTAGCACACAGTTTATCATAGATGGCAAATAACGCTTCCAATAATTAATGAATAATATAAGAATGTTTACTGTAATTTGGCACTGAATTATGTTGTTCCTTCTGGGCAATGTGTTCAGACATTACAAACCTGTAAAATAATTACTAAACACAGCTCTTCAGGGAGTGCACATTGTTGAGCAATGAGGCTTTACTTGCTAAACAACAATAGAAATATAACATTGGAGGTTTGAATAAAGTGGCTGGCAGCTATCTGGGACACCACCATTGTGTTTGGAACAGGTGAATGATAAGAATGCAAAAAGTTGTCTGGCTGATGAGAGCAGTGTAATGACTTCTGACAGGATAAAAGGGAGTTCCCAGTTCCAGCTGACTGATTCCGAAACTTCAATTACATCTATGCTGAGTAGAAGTGCAAAGTCATCATATCAAAAAGTCATATGGACTTCACGAAAATGACTTTACTGTAGGCCTCCTCATCTCCTTTCACTTGCAATATGGAAATGAAATGAAAGTCTTGTCCCTGTCTTGGTAACAACATGTTGAAAGAAAAGTACAAGTGTTAAACACACAAATCTGTAATGCATTTAAACTGTGTTTGCAGGTGGTTTCTAGCAGACTGCAGATGACAGAGAGTCTCCTACAGAAGCAAGCAGAGGAGCGAGGAGCCTCTGAAGCTGTAGGGGACAAACTGGTCATCAAGGCTATCACTGTCATGGACAGTGTGGCTGCCCTAGTGGACAGGTAACTTACTGCACATGTGCTGGTATTGACATTGCCTTCAACAGTAATGTGTGTTGTCTTTAAAGGTGTTTTATTATGTGCAATGTCAGTCATAAAACACAGTTACAACTTAGTTGGACAAAGACAATGTCACATACCTTCATGCACCAATTAGGATTTAGCAACATTTCAATCAGAATCTGATGACTGCTGTGGGGTTGTAAATGTTGTTTTTAAATGAATAAGATGATGTACCACATATGAAACTTTAAAAGGGATAAACTCTTGTTTACATTGGCAGTAAATAGTGGTTGAAGTGTTCTTTTTCCTGTGCTGTAAATCACAGGTTTTGTGTTCAGTCAGTCACAGCATTATTTATAATGGGCCTGTGTGCGTCAGATTACCAGAAGCAGTTCCTCTTTCAGGGCTTACGTGCAGGATCAGGCATTGACGTTTGAAGATAAAATTCATGCTAGAACTCAGTGTTCCAATCTTTTCTTGTGATAAATCCAGTTTATCTGCATTGTTGGACTGCCAGAAGACTAAAGTCCTGTAATACTGTTCGAATGTCATGGACTGTTCAACAGCAGTTTGAAAAATAGATTAGATGACAATTCAGGCAGATGCGCTGAAGCATGTATCAGAGGCGTCCAAGAAAAATACATGCCTTGTTTATTTTTGGTGGAGCTGCAGCGCCTTGCACAGAGCAGAGTTCTTCTGCTAACAGGCACTGTATGTAAAATACAGTGTAGGTATGATGTGATTATGTGGATGAATGTATTCTTAATAACTATAACAGCCACAAATCTGTGATCTATGCCATTCATTACTGGACTCTGAAAGGTATTAACTGTCTGTAGTAGGCTATATTGCACAATGGAGAAGAAAATAATCACAATAAATACAACTAAGAGACAACAAGAAAGAAAGAAAGAAAGAAAGAAAGAAAGAAAGAGAAAGCATTCAACTACATGGGGTACTATAGGACACAAACACAAATATCAATGAAAAATAAACAAATTAACAAAATGCTCCGCTTCTGAAATGCCTTTCCACGTCCACGTACGACGTGCAAGGTACCCTGGGTGTGTTTGGTGTTGACATTCTGGGACACCGTGTCAAGTTCTGCCTGTTACACACATTTCCTTTCAAGATACACTTCTTTTACAGGAAATTTTATGTTCACGTGCAGTCTCTTAAAATAAACGCACTACGTCGGTACAACACCATGAAATCACGTTTTTTTCCTTCAACAACAAATGCACATGGTTGAGCTCAGGCAACAAAAACACGTACAGTAGGTAGGTTTAGGCAACAAAAGCACGTGGTTAGGCTTAAGGCCAAAACACACCGGCGGCGTACGAGGCAACAACAACAGGTGGTTAGATTTAGGCAACAAATGCACGTGGTTAGGCTTAGGCAACAAAAAAAGCATGTGGTTAGCTTTTGGAAAAAAGAACAGGGTTTGACGCAAACACTGCTCTCTCTGATGACAGTTGGTGTTTGATGCTTTCGTGCTTGTTCCACCGCGTTTTCCCCTGACGCTGCCAGACGCCGTTGAACTATAATTTCAACGACTTTGGCGTGAGAATGGGCTCGGGTCATCGCTGGACCATAGAGAGCTGTTACCGGTGGAATTCTCTGGTCCCAAAATGGTGGTGATGATAACAAAAACAGGGACTAATTAATTTTGTTCACGTTTCTAACTTTAGTAGATCCTAAAGGCCCAGACACACCAAGCCCACGGCTGGCCGTCGACCAAAGTCAGGCCGTCGGTGGGCGTCTGTTGGCCTAGTTTTTGCGGTGTGTCCCACACCGTCAGCACTTCGGCGTCAGCGGCTTTTCGGCCAATTGAGCTTGTTGGTGAAAGAGATCACTCTGATTGGCTGTTCAGGTTTTATTCCCTCGCGCCTGTAGTGAGTGAATCTGCCTGTAGTGAAACCGGAGCTAACCGGTGCTTCTTCCTCAGGCTCCACTTCACTCAGCTGCCCAACAGATCCACTGCCTCTTCCCACTTAAACCTGAATAACAAACGCACTCTGGCACTCCGTTTGAATCCAAACGGAGTGCCAGGGCTAGCTGGGAGGCTAGCAGAGCGTTAGCCGCAGCATGACTGGAGGGAAGCACAGCCAGTTAGCCTCCGCTAGTCTCTGAGCTAGCCCCGGCTCTCCATTTGGATCCAACCGGAGCACCAAGCCCTGGTTTGTTATTCAGGTTAAAGGGGGAAGAAGCGGCGGGTTTATCAGGCAGCTGAGTGAAGTGGAGCCTGCGGAAGAAACACCTGGACTGTCTGGATGTAATAGTCCATAGAGATGCTGCGATGCTCGGCTGCACAGATAGGAAACCCCTGGGCTGACAGGATGTCCCACTCTCTCACTCCGCTCTCTCTCACGCAGCTCAGAACGTACGTGCTACTTGGCCATCGGATGTAGTCCGTGTAGCGTGTTCAAATGCAACTGACACAGGGCGACGTGAGGCGACGTGAGGTGACATGAGGCGACGTAGACGACGCAACAGTTGGCTTTCGTCGCCACTAGTTCTGTGATGTCGGTTTGGTGTGTCCTCACCTTAACATTTCTGGTATGAAATTAATTTGCAGATGCTCTGGTTAAAAATTAGACCAAATTTTTCTTTGGATGTCAGTAGCCACAGCAAAGACCAAAATGTGGCCTACAATGGACTGTAAGGCTTGTTGTTTTAGCTGAGGCAGTTTCAGGAAAACCTGGTCTAGAAAAGTAAGGAGTCAGCAGCCAGTGATGGTAAAAAAATAGTCAGTAAAACAGGTTATTTAACAGTTGTGAATCGCTGAAACCACGAGAGGTCCTTGAGGATACACTCATAAGTGTGCACACAAAATATTAGGCTGATTGGTCCAGTAATTTTTGAGATTATAGTGACGTAACACATTTTCCCCCCAGGCTTATACCTAGTGAATATAATGAAAAACAAACAAACAAACAAACAAAAAAAAGCCTGCCTCATCAAAACAAATGAAGCGCGCCACATGACTCACTGTTGCGAAAGGCTTTCGAAATACTAGAGTAATGTTCAAGCAATACTAGTAATGATAGTGGGTGTAAATATGATTTCTAGGTGGAAAATCATTGTGCTCACTGGCACTCCAAGTTTACCCTAATTCTAATGTACCTTTGTGGTGTTGTGTTCAGCTACAGGGAGCGACTGCGTGTGCTGTTGGAGGAGGAGAGAGGCCAGCGCAGAAAAAGCTGGCAGTTTGGACTGGGTGCACTCGAAGAGCAACAGCAGCAGTTAGCGGAGGCACAGCAAATTGCCGCAGAGGCCCTAAATGAGACAGACCCATGCATCTTCATACACAGGTACAACAATAATCTATACTGCTTTTACAACTAAAATGAATAGATACAAAAAATAACCTCAACACCTCAACATACTGCAGAAAGTATTTTCACTGATAGACTGACAGAATGTGTAATTTTCAGTTTATGTTGTCCCATAATGAATAGATGAGACCAAAAATAAAGAGATTAGTTAGCGAATGCCCCATAAAAGTTGCTTTCATTTATAGTACCAGCTTTACAATAATATAATGTAATATATAAAAATGTGCTTAATGAACATGTGCACTATTAGCTATTAGCAGAGGTGTGGACTCGAGTCATAAAACTGATGACTTAAGACTCGATTTGACAAAGTCAAAAAAAAGACTTGCAATCCAACATGGACATTAACATCAATGACTTATGACTTCACTTGGACATGAGCCTTTTGACTGGAAATATTTGATACCCCCTCCCCGGCCCACAGATAAGAACATTTGGTATATAAAAAGTGTACCATGAATCAATTCATTTCCCTTAATTTCCTGAATCAAGTAACATTAACACTATTTACTCCCAGCAAGTCAACAACCTAATTCCCTAGATTCACTTTCTTTAAACAAGTCTGACAACATCCAGTCAAAAATGGTAAAGTCGAGGCTAAAATTAGCATAGTTAGCAAGCTAATGCTAAGCCAATGCTACTACTACGCTGTTAAAATGGCATTACATTTGGTGAAGAGCACATTATGACTTGTTTGGGACTCGAAACTTAATGTTGAGGACTTGGTGCTTGGCAGTCTTGACTTGAGACTTAACTTGGGACTTGTCAGTCTTTAATTTGGACTTGAGTGCAAAGACTTTAGACTTACTTGTGACTTGCTAAACAATGACTTGGTCCCACCCCTGGCTATTAGCACTTATGACATATAGGATGAACAGATAAGTCTACACACATTTGTATGTGTGTGCCTCCATGCAGCCTACATAAGTAAAGATATGTGAGGCCAAGAAACAAAGCAGATCACATGGTAACAGTCCTCAGCTGATGACATTCTTCTGCTCGCCAGGTTCATGCTGATTGACCATAAGCTGAGAGAAGCTGTCACATGCAAAATTCCCACCATCCCCTCAAATGCTCCGCTCAACACCAAGCATCTCCACGCAAGCCTCAAAACCAAAGACTTCTGCTCAGAAATGACCCGCCTCCTGGATTGCCTCCACATCCTCCTGAACCCCCTTGAGCTCAGCTTCAACCCCTGCACTGCTCACCCCAGCCTGATAGTGTCCAATGACCTGCGCACGGTCAAGTACAGTCCCACCAAGCAGCCATATGCAGAGCACCCAGAGCGTTTTTCAAGCGCGCCCCAGATTCTTTGCAGCCAAGGGTTCTCCAGTGGGGAGCACATATGGGTTGTAGAGATGGGGGCCAACTGCATGTGGTCGGTGGGTGTGTGTTACAAGACCATCCCTCGCCGTGGTGACCATAGTCGTTTAGGTCACAATTCTGTTTCCTGGCGGCTGCAATGGAAAAACGGCAAGCTGACAGTGTGCCAGTCCTCCTGCAACGTGGCTCTGGGGGAAACCACCACTCCTCCGCTGAAGATTGAGATAGCGCTGGACTGTGATGCAGGGACGCTAATGTTCCACAATGTCAGAGGACGCAGGGAGCACCTCCACACCTTCAGGGTAGTGTTTAGGGAGCCGGTTTACCCAGTGTTCACTATACATTCAACCACACCAGAGTCCTGGATCACACTGCACAGGGGGATGTAAACACTATTGTTTAATTTTTTCCATGAATAGAATTCATTTGGGTGTAATTTGGCCTCTCACTTAGATTTTTTCTTTGTAATTGTATTTACTGCGCTTTTTTAAATGTGTGTATTCTACCAAAATGGTGCATTTAAGTGCGGTGTCATCCCCAGACATTTTCCATAGGGTTGGCCAGATGGGGCCACTGGAAATCTTGTGGTGCACACTAAAACCAAAAGCCATAACTGAATTTCAGGAACTCACTTATTCTGTTGCTAGTATATAGGCTTGATGAAAACTGTGTCAATATGGAGATTTAAGTAGTTGCATATCAATATACTTTGTTTTCTTATTTTACAGTTAATATTACTAATGATCTGATATACATAGACTAATACTGGTAAAGATAATATTTTGAGTTCCACAACAGTCCTAATTTAAAGTATTTTGAGGTGAGAGTTTGGGACCCTTTGAAAATGGCCATGCCAGTTGTTCCCTCGCCAAAATGTTGCCTAATTTGAGAGTGTTGTTTAGCCCTCTTCCCTACAAACTATGCTGACATTGTTGTCAAAAGACACTGTATATAATAACGGACGTAGCTACCATGACGTCACCTGTTGGTCTGTGGACTGCCATTTTTAAAGCCTTAAGTTTGGCATTTCGGATGTTGCCATCTTGGGTTACTTGAAGCACAGAACAAAAGTTTTTGGACCATATTTGGACAAGAGGGTGGAGCTGTTGAGAAGTGAGGGGTGGAACTGACTCTCAGACTATAGCAACACCTAACAGAGAGCCTGGCACTTAGGTGGCCCTGCCCTTTAATATGCGTAGCTTTGGGCCTTAATAAAATGTGAAAAGGTGAGTTATAAAAAAAATTCACCCCTTGTACAGTTGTCATGAATGTTGATATCAGCCATGGAGAACAAAAAAAGTTTGTACCAGGCTGTAAACATGTTTATGTCTGCTGTAAAGTTGAACACTTTAACATGGGGGTCTATGGGGATATACTCTGTTTTGGAACCAGCCTCAAGTGGCCATTTGATGAACTGCAGTTTAGGCACTTTTGCATTGGCTTAATTTTTATTAGGTCTCGGAGGTTGCTGTTTGGTAGGTACCGATGGATGCTTTATGTTGATGCCTTCACTCTAGCTTAAAAATCTTAAAATAGTAATATATGCCTCCAGTTATTTTCACTTGGGGGAGGGGCAGCAATTGTGTAACGGGGCAATTCCCCCTACTGTTTGACTGTTGTTCTATATCTTTTGTGGATTTTGTGGAGTATAAATATCAATTATAGGTGTTCCAAAGTCAAAATGAATTAGCTTTGTGGGTTTTATAATATTTCCATTTATCTGTTTATCAAAAGTGAACTAAACGTCTTCAATGTTGTGTGTTTTACTTTTGTTTTCTTTATATAGCCACAGTAAACATTAATGTGTGAACACTGATGTAAATATGAGACTTGCTTGTGTTTATGCTACGAATAAACTGATGATAATGTATGTATCCATGTCTAGGTATTGACAGTTTGTACTGAATATGTGATATGTGATTGGCTCTTGACAGTTCATTCATTCAAAGAGGCTTTAGTGCATGACAGTGGGGTTGCCAGGTTCAGCTGTAAATAGGTAACTAACAGTGATTCAGTCGTTTATGTCATACCTAAATGCCGTAGCAAGAAGATAAATTTGATTGTGAACAATTAAAGTAACTCGCTCCATGTTAATAATACACTTCTTTATATTTTGTGTAGTTTTTCATTACGTATTTTGCAAACAGTTTTGCACCTTCACTACATGACTCAGTGGTCACTTTATCTTCTATATTTTCTTTCTTGCATATTGTATATTGCCCATGTAAAGCACCTGTGGCCTATGTTTGTGAAAAGCGCAACATAAATAGACTTTAGTTAACTTATATTTATAGTAAACCATGCTCCGGGTTTTACACACAGCTGTGACAGGGGGACCGATAACTCGAAGCTGGCAACCCAGATTCCATCTGTCACACACTCTGTCATTGGGCAGGACACTGACATCAATTCATGATAATAACATTAACTTAATCTACGCAAGGTCACAAGCAAAGCTGTCACTTAAAAGCAGAAGGCATGGGCTCGGGAGAGAGTACAACCAGAAAAGTGTCCTTCGGTGTGGATGATGAGGACAGAGTCAGGATTCTCCGTGGGGTGAAGGTAATGCTATTTTAGCTAGCGTTTGATAAGCCATGCTAACGTTACTTTATTGTTACGCCCAGCGCTAACTAGCTGTTAGCATGGTGAAGCAGAGCAAATGCAGCTAGCGGTTTGTTTTCTGAGGTGAACCAACGTTGAGTCCACAACCTGTCAAGCGACTGCAGGGGTGAGGAGGATGTACAGGGATGCAGGGGCTGGGGTGGGCTCATATATGACCTGAAACATGACTCTTTCTGTATGCCAAACTCCAGTCGCAAAAAGCCGCAGATAAAAGTTTGCCTTGTTTATCGGTTAAAGAACATAGCTGGCGGATGACCAACATCATTTAGAAACGTTCGTGGTATTATAGTCAATTCGGCATATATGTTATCCACCCAGCGCTCCGAAATTAATCAGAAATCCCACATTTTTCACTGTTCACTAGCTGTCTAGCGTTTGCTACATGGATTAACACAACGCGTTCAGCTCGCAGATAAGAGGCAAACAAATCGCAAGTGTTCAGTGGGAACATTTCAGCTGCAGGGTGGATGCATGACCAAGTCAAAGACAGATTCAAATGTTTTTATTGCTATGACAATTTTGGTTATAAAGATGGTGGCTTTAAATTGACAAATTCTGAGTGAAGTTTGGCAGGGTGCTCTCTGCTTTTTGACACTGCTGCCTTCCAGTGCTACTGTAAATGTCGGAAATTTCGAAGCGCACCTCATGAACCAGTGAAAATGCAACACAGCTGTGCTTGTAGCATAAAATATTAAACTATTCTGTGTTCAAATGTTTTAAATGTAATTGTAAGTTACTAGTGATGTGGGCTGCACAATAAATTGTGTCAAAGGAGACTTTGATTGATACCATTAAACATATTATATTTTCATGTGATAACATAACAATGATTATGCTGCATTTGCATAAGCAGAGATGTAGGCTATGTTCCTCAAAAGCAAGTGACCTAATCATAATTTATATTGACAAAAGACAAGATGTCATGTCACCTCATGATGACAGAAGTAGAAACAAAATGTGTGTAGTATTTTAAAAGAAAAAGCAGTTACGACAAATATGCAACCTTTTGAACGGTGTATGAAAATGGCTACCTTTTGCAGAATGTATGAGCCCAGCCTTTGATCCTTGTTCACCCTTACATCCTCACCACCATCACTTCCAATGTCATTCATAAAATAAAGGGATGCAATTCCAGGGATTTTCCTGACAGACTGTCAAGATTTACAGTTTAATATTAATATGTCTTTTTAGCCAAAAATCCATGAAGGAGGTTTGTTTAACTGATGAAGTGCAACTTTACCTCAGCAAAAAATGTTACATACTTTTTTCCTTTTTTTTTTTTTTTTTGCTAACACATATTAGGGGCTTGCTTTCAAAAAGATTAAAGCACTCAAGCACAACAAAAGTTTGAATGTTTGTACTGAGCACCGGGATATATGGGGAACTGATGGATGTGATATCCAAATTTCCCATAGGATCTGAAGGCACCATCAACCCCAGCTAGACTCTAATGCAGGCTAGTCAAGTAAAAAAAAAAAAAAAAAACCTATGCAATTCAAACAAGTCTAGAGTTTATAGTTGTGGTACCTCCATACATCATAATGATTGTGAAAAAGTTTGTAAAATTGTCTATAAAACATGAAAACGACAAAGCTTACAGATTTATTTATTTACCAGCCCTGCCTGCAAATTCAAATCTTGTGAGTCATAGAAACAGTGAGTCAGTGGCTGCTGCCTGCTGTGGTTTTTGATGTAACTTTGTTTAACCATTTCCCTGGACACACACACAGAAAGTTGTGCTACAGTGACCCACTGTTTTCTGGCACATTTTGCAGCTTTAGATGTTTTACATTTGGCCAAAATTCCCCTGTCCTTCCCAAAGCTTTAAAAAAGACCGATTTTCATTACATTTGAATCAATGTGCATGATATGCTTTATGCTCCATTAAATCATTATTAAGTTTGTGGAAAGTTGCAGAAAGGCCTCTGCTTGTTTAAAAGAAAATAAAGTTAAGAGCAGAAAAAAAACTTCTGGGGGGGAACCTCAGGTTCTCAGTTCTGTGTTGTTTCTGTGTCTCCAGCCTGCCAGTCTTTCCCTTTTTTTTTAATTTTGCTATTCACCCCTCCCCAGCTGTCAGAAGATGTTCTCCAGAGGATGAGAGGAGTCGCCAACATTGCTCCAGAACGCACACCTTCATCTACCTCAAGCCCTCAGAATGACACAGGTATCACGCACCTCACAGAGTTTTCACACAAGTTTTTTGTCTGAGAAAACTTAAAAACCAAAAGTTGCTGGCTGACCCTGTTAATGTGCTGGGGCATTGACTGACTGACCATTTTTAATCTCTCACTTGTATAGAAGTACAAACCTAAATTACTGGAGGATCTGCAAATCCTAACCAGTGCCAGAAGTAATCAATAACTAGAGACCATTTCACAATGGATCACTCCAACTGCGATAAAATGATGAGTGACTTTAAATGAACACGGGCCAGGGGCGTAAGGTGTCTTTCTACCCCCCTACTTCCAACCCCTGGCAAAATACTCAAAACAGCTTCTGTGGTAGTTCCTGCTACATTATGTCACTAGGACCACAAGTTTATATGATGACACACACAGAGACTCACAAGGTGAAAACATTACCAGCCTTTGTTGCAGTGTTGCAGCTGGTAATGGTTATAATCAGTAGATGTAAAACGGTTAACTTAATAAAATGTATTATTTTTGCATTTCAAGTTATTTATTGCCATATGCATAGCAGTAACAGAGAAGTAGTCCTTGGCATGAAAATCATAGATGACCGGCTCCCTCTAACCACATTTGTATTTAATGTATACATTTCTTTATTGGCTTGACTATAAGATGACCCTGATTTAAGGCCGCCCCCTGCTTTCCAACACCTGTTTTGGGAAAGAGACATTTTAAGGATATGAAACACGTTGAGACTAGTCCTCTTGGGTTTCCCTGTTATCCCTGAGATAATTTGAGGATAAGGTAGCCCTCATCTCTGAAGCCTTCTTTCTTATACGTTCATTAAAGCAAAATGTAAATCTCAGTCACACTCTCACACTCTCCTGTCAGGCTCCTGAAACAGTCAGGATCATTTTCTCTTATAGTTTTTACATCTTTCAGATTGACACCTGGTTACTGGCAGGATACATAGCATCAGATACTCTACATTCAAAAGAGTATCTGATATTGTTAATATTGTTCTAATGTACGGGATCGGGGAAAGCACTGACAGGAGGGGTGTATTTGTTGGGACGCTGAGTTCAAATATCAACAATCTTTCTCCAGAATTGCAGACTCCACCTTTATATACACAATGTAATGATTATATCTTTATTAAGTATTACTTGTTTTAACAGTAACACTGCACTATAGGCCTCCAAGCTGCCACAGTTCGTAATAGTTTGCCTTCTGTAAGAATTTTTCCCTTAAACATCCACTCTGTCTTTATCCAGGTGCTTCTCGCAGCACCAACTCAAGCCCTCGACCCCAGCAGAGCCCACAGTCCCGGGCCCAGCCAAGTAACCAGTCCAGCAGTAGCAAACCAGCCTCCTACGCTAAGGAAGAACAGAGAAGGTGGGTTAAACAAATGTGGGTTTGTAATAGAGACATTTAATGGTGGACAAACATTCAAGCTGATTTATGCCAGGGGATGATAAAAGCCTGGAAATCCAGACCCAAATCTAGAAAGATTTAGGGTCTGACCA